GTTTTTTCATCCCTCGAGTAAGAGCTCCCACCACGCAGTCCGTGGGCATCCCACGCAGAGCCTTCGGCCCGTCCTGGCGGCGGGCAGCATCCCGCGCAGACCGCGGGGCGCCTCTCGCAGCTCGCGGTGGCCGCGAGCCGCGGTGCCACGAGCCTCAGGGCCGGCCCCGTTGGCCCCACGGCCGGCGGCGGTGCAGGCGCGGGCGCTCCCGCGGCCAGAGTGGCTCTCTTGCTCAGGAGGGGAAAGAAACACACAGACACAATGAATCGTCGATTCCCCAGAAGCTATGGGAAACTGTGGGGCGTGGGGGGGAAGGCAAAAGCCCAGAGAGTGCAGGAAAACAGGGGGAGTCCGGTTTTGTTGTGTGTCTTCCTGTGTGTGCCCTTGGGCCCCGTGACTTACCCTCCCGCCCTCCCTCACCAGCCTCGAACTCATCCCCATCCCTAAGATTGACACGCCAAAAGGCGATGGCGATCTTAGGGATGCGCCCTGGAAAACTAGAGGACCCCCCCAAGATTGGCATTGTGATGAGGCGATGCCCAGCTTAGGGATAGGGCTATGTTCCAGGCTGGTAACTCCCTCCGCCTCCTCGGGCCGAGGCTCTCTTATGCAAGGCTGCGGGTGTGTCTTGGCACCGCTCGGGCGGGTTTCTTCTGTCCCCCCGGGGAAGGGCTCCGGCCCAGGGTCGACTCGAGGTGGCCCGGCGAATCGAGGTGGGCCGGCGAATCTCTTTTGCGAAAGGTGACGGGGAAACGGTGGGCCGGCGAATGAAACTATTGAGGATGTCCCGAGCGAAACGCTCGTTTTACATAACTACATTTGCTGCGGATGTCTCGGGGAAAAACGCTTGTTTTTGGTTTTATAGATTGTCCTCCCTTGGGGACCAGAATTCAGAGGATCTCTCAAGTGAAATGCTTGTTTTCACGTGCCCAGGTCTTGAGGACGTCTCGAGCGAGATGCTTGGTTTCACGCGTCCAGGTTGCCCAGGCAGATGTTTAGCATGAGGATTTGACGAGGATGTCTCCAGCGAGACGCTTGTTTTCACGCATCCAGGTCGCCCAGGCAGATGTCTAGCATGAGTATGTGTTGAGGAAGTTTCGATCGAGACGCTTGTTTGCACGTGTCCAGGTTGACCAGGCGGATGTCTAGAATGAGGATGTGTTGAGAATGTCTTGAGCGAAGCGCATGTTTTCACGTGTCCAAGTCGCCCAGGCACAGCACAGCCCTCGGCACGGTACATCAAGATCGATACACTCAGCAGTGCAATTTGGCACGTTCCGTGGCGCGTCCCTTGGCGAGTCTCCCTGGCACGTCGCGTGGCGCGTCCCTTGGCACATCCCGTGGCACATCCATTGGCACGTTCCGTAGCGCGTCCCCTTGGCACGTCCCGCGGTGCGGCAGTGCGACCCCATGGCATGTCCCCTGGCACGTCGCCTGGCGCATCCCTTGGGACGTTTCGCGGCGCGTCCTCCTGACATGCTCCCCTGTCCATCAGCTCTGGGGCAGCTACTATGTGTTCAGGCAGCTCGAGCTTAAGATCGAGATCAGTTCGGTCAGGACTCGGATGCAAAGGAGGACTCGATCCATGACGCTATAGAGCACATTCGCGGCATGGCACATCGCAATTCAGCACGGTGCAGCGCAGCACAGCCCTCGGCAGGGTACATCAAGATCGATACATTCAGCATTGCATTTGCCCGTCACCCAATCAGGTGTCTTTGAAAACGCTGCCATGTGTTACAGTTCTATATTCCTTTCCGGGTTCGTGGGTCGATCATGTTGAAACGTTGCCATGTCTTACATTTCTGAATTCCTTTTCGGGTTCGTGGGTCGATCATGTTTGTCTAGGCGAAGTCCATCAAGGACCATCCTGCATCGTTTTGCGAAACATCGGCGCACGAAGTCAGACAGTGCACGGGCAATGGACGTCCGAGCGGTGGCGAGGTGCCCGTCAGGCGTTGGAGTGAGGACCACTCTGGCCTCGGAAAAGGGGCTCGAGGGTGGTCGGGTGATTCGGAAGCGGCTTGTCGCTGGTTGCCCCGTTCACATCGGCGGCGAGCGAGCGGGGGAAGCGAGAAGGAGAAGGCCTTCTCAGAAGGCTCGGAAGTCCCCGGGCCTTCTGCGAGTTTCTCGGAGCCTTCATCGGAGGCAGAGGCGGCTTCTCAGGGGCCGCGGGGGCTTCCGAGAAGTCCCGCCGCCTTCTAAGAGGACCTTCTCTTCTTCCCGTTCCCTCCTCGCTCGCCCCCGTTCGAAGATCTAGGCGCAGTGGGGGGCCAGCGCGTGACTTCGGCGTCTCTTCAGCGCAAGGGTCCCGCATCGCAAGGGTTTGCCCGAGCACTTGGAGTGGCACCTGCATGTGCAGCTGATTGTATCCGCCACCAAAAAATACTTGTTTGATCCGCGGGTCGAGAGCGCACCTCTTCCGGTCGAAGCTAAGCGGGCCGCGCGGAGCTTGGCTACCAAAAAAACACGGACACCCTCCAATGAGTAATTCCTAAGCCACAGGGCAGGGTGGCCGTGTATAAACCACCACTGGGAGCCAGCGATTTTAGACACCGCCGCCCTCCTTGAAGGTACATGCAAAATTCGTCGGATGGTGTCTGTGCGTATGTATATATATATACATATATGTATACACATATCTCTCTCTCTCTATATATATGTGTATACATATATCTATATATATATATGTATCTCTATGTTTATATTCGTGGCGTATTATGGGGCGCTTCGGATCGTTACGCAACATGCCTTCTCTTACCCGATGCGATCGCCTCCAGAGCAGCCCCAGAGGCTCCAGGAATCCTTTTTTCCCGGAAAGGGCGCGGGCCCAGGGTTCTCTTTTAGTAGGTTAACCCCCCGGCCCCCCTGCGACTTGGGCCGGCGAAATTATTCTGCGATAAATTACGTGCGGGAGTAGGGCCGGCGGAATTATTTTTGAGGATGTCTCGAGCGAAACGCTTGTTTTTCTGAATGTGTTGAGGATGTCTCGAGCGAAATGCTGGTTTTGCAGAGTTGGGGATGTCTCGAGCGAAACGCTTGGTTTCAGAATTTGTTGAGGACGTCTCGAGCGAAACGCTGGTTTTGCAGAGCCGACCGCGACACGGAAAAGCGCCCCTCGCGCAGGAATTCTGAGGATGTCTCGCGCGTGCCGCGTCCCGCGCGCAGGTATTTAGATTTCTTGGGATTCTGACCGGAATTCTCGAGCGAAACGCTTGTTTTTCATAATTTGTTGAGGATGTCTCGAGCGAAACGCTGGTTTTGCAGAGTTGGGGGATGTCTCGAGCGAAACGCTTGCTTTTCAGAATTTGTTGAGGATGTCTCGAGCGAAACGCTGGTTTTGCAGAGTTGGGGTATCTAACATGGCGTCGGGCCCAACGCAGAATTATGAGGAAAAGTGATGGCTTCTTGCTCTGAACAGGGGGGTGCGCTTTGGGGTCCCCGTGGCACGTCCCCTGGCACGTCGCCTGGCGCGTCCCTTGGAACGTTCCGCGGCGCGTCTTCCTGGCATAATTCCTTGTCAATTAGCTCTGCGGCAGCTACTTCGTGGACTATGTGCTCAGGCAGCTCGAGCTTAAGATCCAGATCAGTTCGGTCAGGACTCGGATGCAACGGAGGACTTGATCCACAACGCTGTAGAGCACAATCGCGGCATGGCACATCGCAGTTCAGCACGGCGCAGCACAGCACAGCCCTCGGCACATTACATCAAGATCGGTACACTCACTCAGCATTGCAACTTGGCACGTTCTTTGGCACGTTCCGTGGCGCGTCCTGTGGCGAGTCCCCCTGGCACGTCGCGCGGCGCGTCCCCTGGCACGTCCCGTGGCACGTCCATAATGCATTGGCACGTTCCGTAGCGCGTCCCCTTGGCACGTCCCGCGGTGCGTCCCCATGGCACGTCCCCTGGCACGTCGCCTGGCGCGTCCCTTGGAACTTTCGGCGGCGCGTCTTCCTAGCATGCCCCCCGTGAATTAGCTCTGGGGCAGCTACTATGTGCTCAGGCAGCTCGAGCTTAAGATCCAGATCAGTTCGGTTAGGACTCGGATGCAAAGGAGGACTCGATCCACAACGCTATAGAGCACAATCGTCACGTGGCACATCGCAGTTCAGCACGGCGCAGCACAGCACAGCCCGCGGCACGGTACATCAAGATCGATACACTCACTCAGCATTGCAACTTGGCACGTTCTTTGGCACGTTCCGTGGCGCGTCCTGTGGCGAGTCCCCCTGGCACGTCGCGCGGCGCGTCCCCTGGCACGTCCCGTGGCACGTCCATTGGCACGTTCCGTAGCGCGTCCCCTTGGCACGTCCCGCGGTGCGTCCCCGTGGCACGTCCCCTGACACCTCGCTTGGTGCGTCTCTTGGCACGTCCCGTGGCACGTCCATTGGCACATTCCGTAGCGCGTCCCCTTGGCACGTCCCGCGGTGCGACCCCATGGCACGTCCCCTGGCACGTCGCCTGGCGCGTCCCTTGGGACGTTCTGCGGCGCGTCCTCCTGGCATGTTCCCTTGTCAATCAACTCTGGGGCAGCTACTAGTTATGTGCTTAGGCAGCTCGAGCTTAAGATCCAGATCAGTTCGGTCAGGACTCGGATGCAAAGGAGGACTCGATCCACAACGCTATAGAGCACACTCGTGGCATGGTTTATCGCAATTCAGCACGGCACAGCACAGCACAGCCCTCGGCACGGTACATCAAGGTCGATACACTGAGCATTGCAGTTGCCCGTCGCCCAATCAGGTGTCTTTGAAACGTTGCCATGTCTTACATTTCTATATTCCTTTCCGGGTTCGTGGGTCGATCATGTTTTCAGAAGGCCCGAATATATTCCAGGAGGCAACCAAGACAGCCAAGGTTGTCCGATGAGCAGTTCATGGGCTCTCTCCGCACCCACGAATGGCCAGATAGCCACTCTGGTTCAGTTCATGTTGACGCGAGTGTTGGAGTCTGTTCGCAAACAACTAGCGTAGAGGTTCCCATTGATACTGCATTCCAGATGGATGCGCTGCTCACTAAAGGCGACCTCGGTTGCTTCGTGAACGTCTTCTTCAACATATCTGGCACCGTGATGGGTATAGTCGCGTCATTTCAGTTAGTCATGCCGAAGGGGAATACTGCACTTGTGAACAAGATCATATTCCAGAGGCTTACGCCAGTTCGCCGACCCGCAGAAGATGGCATGGGCGGCCTAGAGGTCAGCCTTGGAGCTTGTTTCGCGGAAAGGGCGAGGGCCCAAGGTTCTCTGTTAGTGTGGTAAAGTTGTCCCCCGGTGCCATGTTGGAGGTGGGCCGGCGGATTTGTTGGATACACAACGAGGTCGAGGCGGGCCCGCAGATTAAACGTTGAGGATGTCCCGAGCGACACGCTGTTGCTTTCAATTCCGATCGATGCAACCCAATGTACGATGAGCAGGTTCTTTCGTCTAAGTTACGGATCTATCGAGCGAAACGCTTAATTTTGTGAATTTGTTGAGGATGCCTCGAGCGAGACGCCTTTTTAGTCTTATCGACTGTTCCTATCCTAGGGGGGCAGAATCCAGAGGATGTCTCTGACGAAATGTTTTTTCACGTGCCCAGGTCGCCCAGGGAGGTATCTAACATGGTTGTCCCCAGGGCGCGGCAAGAGTGAAATCACGTGGGTCCCATTCGCCTCAAGGCAGAGCAGGAGTGAAAACGCGTGGGTCCGTTTAACTTCAGGGCGGAGCAGGCGTGGAAAACACTCCCTTGCGCTGGTTCCCGCTCTGGGACGAACGAGGCCCAGGTGGTTTCGCGCTTGCTGCGCTCTGGGGCGAGACGGACCCACGTGCTCTCGCGCTTTCTCCGCTCTGGGGCGGAAATGGGACCCACGTGTTTTCACATCTGCTGCGCTCTGGGGCGGCAGGGCCACGCGTGTCTTCACGCTTGCTGCGCTCTGGGTCGGAAGGGGCCCAACGTGTTGGCGCGCGTCCTGGCCACCCGGGGGCGGTCTCCCCCACCCCCCCCCCCCCACATGTGAGGGAGGGCACCAAAAGCGGAGCAAGCTCAACGAATCGGCATTCGATTCGAGTCGGGCGCGTCCCCCATTCGGGAGGAACGTGCAAAAACATTCAAAACATAAGCTTTGGGACGATTCTTTGAGCATGTTTGCCCAGCTTGTGGCATTTTGTGTTTGTGTTTCACTGTTCGCCCCAAAACCGCCTGTATGGGGGGCATGCCCGACCTAACACTTGGCATGCTCCGTCGTGGGGCTCTGGGGAGGCCCCCTGGGCCCCTGGGGCTTCCTGGAAGGGACCCACGCGTTTTCACGCTCGTGTGCACTCTGAGGCGAAATGGACCCACGTGTCCTCTCCTCTCCTCCTCTCCTCCTCCTCCTCCTCCTCCTCCTCCTCCTCCTCCTCCTCCTCCTCCTCCTCCTCCTCCTCCTCCTCCCCTCCTCCTCCTCCTCCCTCCTCCTCCTCCTCCTCCTCCTCCTCCTCCTCCTCCTCCTCTCCTCCTCCTCCTCCTCCTCCTCCTCCTCCTCCTCCTCCTCCTCCTCCTCCTCCTCCTCCTCCTCACTCCTCCTCCTCCTCCTCCTCCTCCTCCTCCTCCTCCCCCCCTCCTCTCCTCCTCCTCCTCCTCCTCCTCCTCCTCCTCCTCCTCCTCCTCCTCACCTCCTCCCCTCCTCCTCCTCCTCCTCCTCCTCCTCCTCCTCCTCCTCCTCCTCCTCCTCCTCCTCCTCCTCCTCCTCCTCCTCCTCCTCCTCCTCCTCCTCCTCCTCCCTCCTCCTCCTCCTCCTCCTCCTCCTCCTCCTCCTCCTCCCCCCCCCTCCTCCCGTCACCCCCCAACTTTGGCACACCCCTCGCACGTCTCGTGGCCCCACAAGGCTCCACCCAACGTGCCGGCAGCGCAGTCCGCATGGCGGCCCACGCTTGCTCCGCCCTGGGGCGAAAGGGGCCCCTTGTGATCTCACAGCTGCGGCGCTCCGGGGCGGGACGGCGCCCACGTGACTGCACGTTTGCCCCGCTCGGGGGCGGAAGGGACCCACGTGTGTTCGTGTTCACTGCGCTCTGGAGCGAAAAGGGGCCCACGTGACGTCACGCTTGCTGCGCTCTGGGGCAGAAGGGACACACGTGTTTTCACGCTTGCTGCGCTCGGGGGGCGAAATGGGCCCGCGTGTTTTCACGCTTGTCCTGCTCTGGGGCGGACAAGGGCCCACGTGTGTTCACGTTTACTGCGCTCTGGAGCGAAGCATGTACCCACGTGATGTCACGCTTGCTGCGCGGTGGGGCAGAAAGGGACACACGTGGAAGTCACGCTCGCGCCGCTCGGGGGCGAAAGGGGCGGCCTCCGTGTTCTCACGCTCGGTCCGCGCTGGCGCGAACTGGGCCCCACGCGGTTTCGCGCTCGTGCCGCCCTGGCGCGCAAGGGACGGCCTGGGTCTTCCTCCTCGTCCTCATCGTCTTCCCCTTCCTTCCTCCACCCTCCTCCTCGTCCTCATCTCTCCTCCTCCTCCTCCTCCTCCTCCTCCTCCTCCTCCTCCTCCTCCTCCTCCTCCTCTTCCTCCTCCTCCCTCCTCCCTCCTCCTCCGCGTCGCCCAGGCGGATCTTTGGCAGGAGAGAGGTGTCGGGGGTGCGTCGGGCGACGCGCGGGTCTCTACGTGCCTAGGCCGCCCAGGCGGAGCACTCACACGCGTAGGTCTCTGAGGACGTCTGGGGCGAAGCGCTCGCTCCGCGGGATCTGCGGAGGACGCCTCGAGCGAGGCCCTCGCCTGCAGCGAAAGGCTCCTTGTGCAGGATGTGTTGAGGAGGAGGAGGGGGAGGGGGAGGAGGAGGAGGAGGAGGAGGAGGAGGAGGAGGAGGAGGAGAGGAGGAGGAGGAGGAGGGAGGAGGGGGAGGAGGCGAGGAGGAGAGGAGGAGGAGGAGGAGGAGAGAGGAGAGGAGGAGGAGGAGGAGGGGGGGGCAGGAGGAGGAACAGGAGGAGGAAGAGGAGGAGGAGGGGCAGGAGGGGGGGGGGAGGAGGGGGGAGGAGGAGCAGGAGGAGGAGGAGGAGGAGGAGGAGGAGGAGGAGGAGGAGGAGGAGGATGGGGGAGAAGGAGGAGGAGGGGGAGGAGCAGGAGGAGGAGGGGGAGGAGGAGGCGGACGAGGAGGAGGAGGTCTCGCGAAACGCTGGTTTTCCCATTGTTTGAGGAGGTGTCGAGCGGGGGCCTTGTTGTCGTTTCTGTGCCTTTCGTTTCGGTTTGGATTCGCCCCTTGTTCGGTTCGTCCCACTTCGGAACTGAATCGGGTCTTGGGTTCGAGCTGTTTGAACGCCCCGCATGTTTCTCCCCCGCCTGTCGTGGTCGCGCTCCGTTCGCTCCGTTGTGGAACTAAATCTCTCGGGCGATGGCTTCGGAAGTGAATCGGATCTTGAGCTCGAGCTGGTCGAATACCCGGCGTCTCGACTAAAACTAGCCCGAGCTATGCGTTCAGGCAGTTCGAACTTAAAGACCAAAATCAGTTTGGTCACGAGTCTGACGCCAAGGAAGGCTTCATCCGCAATGCAACAGGGATCGTCACGGTTCAATGCGGCGTGACACGTTGAATTCAGCATCGTACGGCGCAGTACAGCGCAGCCTGTGGCACGGTTCATCACGATCGTTGTTCTGAGCATTGTAATGTCCCGCCGCCCAAGTTTGACATCTTGGAAGCGATGCCATGCTCCACATGTTTGCATCCCATCCCGGGTTCATGGGTCGATCGTGTTGGCGGCCTCCCTGGAGCGTCGGGGGGCCCCCTGGGGGCTTCCTGGGGGCCTTGGGCGGGGCATGCTGGGTGTCTTCGGGCCCATCTTGTACCCACCCAGCCTCTAAGGATCCCAGAAGACAGGGAAATGGTGAGGAGTCACAGCCAATCACCTCGCACGCCTGGTCACCTGCTGCAGGCGATGGCCGGCGGATATGAGAAGATCTTGGCTGGCATGACGGTGACAATGCTGGCTGGAAACTTTTATTATGCCTGGATGGCGAAGCGTCTTATGAAATCCACTGGTCGCCAGGATGTCACGGCATTGCCGTACGGCATCAACACGCCAGCCGCTTTTGCCTTCATCTTCAATGTAATAGGCGTAAGTGTCAGGAACATGCTGGAGCAGGGCGAGAAGAGCGAAGACGACATACAATTGGCGCTGCCGTGCAAATCCGCCGCCGCGCGCCAGTCAGGGCGCCTGGACGGCCTCCTCAGGGGCAGCGCTAGGGGGGATAAGCTCAGGGGGGCATGCTCGATAGGGGAGGGATATGGGGGCACTCCCGTTTTCGTAGGTTCTCGGTGGTTTTCCAGCCTCGGAGGCTCTCCAGCGGCTGCGCCTCGCCGAGAGCGTTTCGGTGGTGCCCAGGTCGTCCCAAATGGCCGCCCGAGAGCTGAGCCAGGGCTCAAAAGCCAGGGGGCTACGTTAGGGGCACAGACATCCGACGGCTCGATTTTTTCGAGACACGGGGCCCCCCAACCTCCCGACCACGTCTCCCGGACTGGTTGTTCATCCCGAGCGTTCTTGTCGACGGTCCCGAGGCCTGCCGAGGGCCCCCGAGAGGCCGGAGGGCGAGGAACAAAACCTCCGCCTCGGTTCTTGTTCGAGGCGCCCGACGCCTGCGCGGGGGTGGGCTCAGCGGGGGGGGGGGACGCAGCAGCCCCCCATCGCACACGGATCGCCGATGGCCCCGACAACAGCCCACCCCTCCCAGGGACCCCTTGGATCTGCCATCGGGGGCCCGTCGCCGATCTGTCTCCCCCTGCCTCCAGGAGGAGGAGGAGGAGGAGGAGGAGGAGGAGGGGAGGAGGAGGAGGAGAAGGAGGAGAGAGGAGGAAAACGAGAAGGAGGGGGAGAGGAGAGCGAGGAGGAGAGGAAGAGAAATGGAGAGGGGGGGGATGCAGCAGCTCCCCAGTCGCACATGGATCGCCGATGGCCCCGACCACAGCCCGCCCCTCCCGGGGACCCCTTGGCTCTGCCATCGGGGGCCCGTCGCCGATTTGTCTCCCCCTCCCTCCAGGAGGAGGAGGGGGAGGAGGAGGAGGAGGAGGAGGAGGAAAACGAGGAGGAGGGGGAGGAGGAGAGCGAGCAGGAGGAGGAGGAGAGGAGGAAATGGATGAGGAGGAGAGGAGGAGGAGGAGGGGAGGAGGAGGAGGGAGCCGGTCTCTCCCCCGCTGTTGCTCCTGGCACCTGGACGGGCCGAAAAAGGGCCCGAGCAGGCCCCCCCCAAAGCGGTTTTCCGCGCTGCCCCCGAGCCCGATTTCGCGTCTTCGCCCCTGGGCGTTGTGCCGATCGCCAGGCCTCCGTCGCGGAGCTCCTGGGGCGGGGCGGCGGGGCGGGGCGGCGGGGGCGGGGGAGGAGCGGGCTGCCTACCTCCTCCTCCTTCCTCCTCCTCCCTCCTCCTCCTCCTGCTCCTCCTTCCTTCCTCCTCCTCCTCCTCCTCCTCCTCCTCCTCCTCCTCCTCCTCCTCCTCCTCCTCCTCCTCCCTCCTCCTCCTCTCCTCCTCCTCCTCCGCCTCCTTCTCCCTGCTCCTCCTCCTCCTCCCTCCTCCTCCTCCTCCTCCTCCTCCTCCTCCTCCTCCTCCTCCTCCTCCGCTCCTCCTGCTCCTCCTGCTCCTCCCTCCTCCTTGTCCTCCTCCTCCTCCTGCCCCTCGCTGGAACCACGTGTATCCACGTGTCCAGGCCACCCAGAACAGAATCTGACATGGTGGCCCCGAGCTGGGACCACGTGTTTTCACACGCCCTGGCCACCCAGCGAGGTATCGCGCATGATGGCGCCGAGGTGGCGTCACGTGTTTTCACGTGTCCAGGCCACCCAGAGGATTATCTAACATGGTTGCCCTGAGCTGGAACCACGTGATTTTCCCGGACAGGGCATAGGTAATGTCCCCGGTGCCAAGCTCGAAGAGGGCCGGTGGATTAATGTGCGATTAACCACGAAGTCGAAGAGGACCGGGGGATCAAAGTTGGAGGATCCCCCATCGAAACGCAGGTTTTTAAAGTTCCAGACGATAAAACGCATGGTAATGTTAACATCTTTGTTTGTTGCGGATGTCTCGGGCGAAACGCTTGTTTTGCAGAAATTGTTGAAGATGTCGCGAGCGAAACGGTTGTTCTGCCCTATAGATGGCTCGTTTCCTGAAGGCCAGAATTCAGAGGAAATCTCAGGCAAAATGCTTGTTTTCTCATACCCAGGTCGTCCAGGGGGAGGGTGGTATTTAACATGGTTGCCCCCAGATGGAACCACATGTTTTCACGTGTCCAGGCCACCCAGGGAGGTAGCTAAAATGGTGGCCCCGAACATGAACGTTGTGTTTTTACACGTGTCAAGGCCACCTACTGGGTATCTACATCCCCGTGGAAATAGTGTTTAACACAAGTGGCACAGGGATGGAAGCCGAAACGATGTTGAACCAGACCAGGCGGGGCCCGTCGCATCAAGTCACGTCCGCCTGTCCATGTTACGGAATAGCGTTTCGTCTGCATTGCGCGGTGCATGTGAGCCAGCCGTGTGCGGGCCCGAAGCTTCAAGGTAGAACGTGAAACCGCCCACGCCAACGGCCCCGTGAAGGATCAGTTTGGAAGAGCACCCGGGCATTAAGTGGCATCCGCCTCCCAATGTTGCCACCAGGCACGCAGGCCAAAGTATGGCATATCAATGACCTGGCCCATGGTGCGCGCCGGCGCACGCTGCCAACATGAAAGCCGAAAAGAACGCATCTTTTTTGGGGGGCGCTACCGTCTGCAGATCATTCAAGGTGATCGGCGTGTTGATTGTATTTTAATTTTGTTCCCGGGTGTGCGGATGTCGAACCTGTTTGGGCGTGCTCCAATCGTTCTGGCGGCAATGGCCCTACAGCGTCGGCAACCTCTTCCGCTCGGGCAGATGGAATGGGAAGCGCGCGATCCCTGACACATAAGATAGCACCTGGGCGGCTGCCGCGGTCTGTCGCGGCTTCCCTGGGAGGGCAGGGCGGCAGACGAGGGAAAATAACATAACTTGGAGATGCGAAGAAGGAGGAAAACGAGGAGGGGGGAGGAGCGGGAGGATTCAAAAGAGAGGGGGCGAGTGAGAGTGCCGATGATGATCCGGCGGAGGAGCGAGAGCTAAGCAGGAGCCGGCGAGGTGGCGAGAACGCACGTCGTCTTCGTCGTTGTCGCCGCGGTCGCCGCGGTCGTCGTGGTCGCCGCCGTCGTCGTGGTCGTCGTGGTCGCCGCCGGTCGTGGTCGGCAGCGTCGTCGTCGAGGTCGCCGCCGTGCCTGGCCATAACCGGGGGCCCAGGACCCGTCGGTCGCAGTCGGGCGCAGCGCCCCATTGGAGCGGGAGCGGGCTCGTCGTGGGAAGCCTTGCCCGGTGGCCGATTTGCGATGTCTGGCGAAAAAGCTCCTCCAACGATGGGACGCGGGCGGGTGTGCTGTGCAGATTCCTCTGCGGGGCGCACTTCCCGCTGCCCAGGGACCCCCGTGGAAGGAGAAGGATCGGGCACCGACGCGTTTGGTGTGTAGAATAATTTCACTCACGGGGCGCACTTCGCGTTGCCCAGGGACCCCGCGGAAGGATCGGACACCGACACGTTTGGTGTGTAAAAGATCACTCACGGGGCGCACTTCGCGCGGAGTGGCGTGCCCCCGCTGGCAGAGTGGGGCGCCCCAGCACGCCGGGGCGCCCCACTTTGCGCGAGGTGCGGTCTGTGTGTGCAATTTACACACGAAACCCGCAGCCGCCCGATCGTGAAGAGGGATTGCCGGGCAGCATAAACAGCGCCCCGTGTGTGAATTTACATTTTCGAACCCGCCCCCCCGCCAGATCGTCGACGCGATTCGTTGGACAGCGCCCCGCAGGTCCCACTGGCTTCGTCAGTTCAGCCCCACAAGTTTCCCAAGTGTCGCAGGTCGCACAAGTCTCACAGGCCCCGCAGGTCTCGCAGGTATCGCAGGCCCCACAGGTCCAACAAGTCCCACAGTCCCCGCGGCTCCCACAAGCCCTACAGGTCCCGCAGGGCCCGCAGGTTTCACAGGTCCTAACGAGGCCGACGTTTCGCGCAGGTCCCACAACTCTTACAGGCCCCGCAGCTCCCACAGGTCTTGCAGGTCGCGCAGGTCCCACAGGCCCCGCAAGACCCACCGATCCCGCTAATCGCCCAGGTCTCGCGTGTCTCGCAGGTCCCACAAGTCGCACAAGTCCCACAGGGACGCAAGTCTCACACGACACGCAGGACCCGCAGGGCGGCACGCTAAAAGACGAGAGGGAATCGCGTGGAATTCAATACTGATGCAGAATTGCCCAGGCCCGTGGAACATGTTTACCAAATGTGGCACAGGGATGGAAGCCGAAACGATATTGAACCCGACCAGGCGGAGCCCGCCGCATCAAGTCACATCCGCCCATCTTGGTTACGGAATAACGTTTCGTCTGCATTGCGCGGTGCATGGGAGCCATCCGACTGTGTGGGGACGAAGCAGCAAAACAGAACTGGAACCGCCCACGCCAACGGCCCCGTGAAGGATCAGTTTGGAAGAGCTCCCGGGCATTAACTTGCATCCGCCTCCCAATGTTGCCACCAGGCACGCAAGCCAAAGTATGGCATATCAATAACCTGGCCCGTGGTGCGCGCTGGCGCACGCTGCCAACATGAAATGCGAAAATAACTCATCGTTTTTTTGGCGCTGCCATCTGCAGATCATTCAAGGTGATCGGGGTGTTGATTTTGTTATAAATTTGTTCCCGGCTGTGTAACGGGTGGCCCGGAGCTGGGACCACGTGTTTTTACGTGTCCAGGCCACCCAGAAGGGGCATCGAACATGGCTGCCCCGAGTTGGGACCACGCGTTTCTACGCGTGCGGGCCGCCCACGGGGAGGCATTTTACATTGTGGTCCCGGACTGCGGCCACGTGCTTTCACGTGTCCCGGACACCCAGGGGTGGGCATCTAAGATGATCGCCTCTTGCCCCTCGCTCGAGTCACATGCTCTCACGTGCCCAGGCCATTCAGGAAGGTATCTAGCATGGTGGCCTGTGGCTTGAACCGCGTCACTTGACGCGCTCAGGCCACCCAGGGGGGTATCTAAAATAGTGGCGCCGGGCTGGCGCCACGTGTTTTTACGTGTCCAGGCCAACCAGAATGGTATCTAACATGGTGGTCCCGCGCTGGAACCACGTGTTTTCACGGCCCACGCCACCCAGAATGGTAGATCTCATGGTGGTCCCGCGCTGGAGCCACGTGCTTTCACGTGTCCAAGCCACCCATCTGGGCATATTTTACATGGTGGTCCTGTTCCCAAGCCGCGTCTTGTACGTACCCAGGCCACCCAGGGCCATAGTTAACATGGTGGTCCCGAGTTCGAATCGCGTGGCTTTACTTGTCCAGGCCGCCCGGGCGGTGGGTATGTAAGCTGATTGCTGTTGCCCCCTCGCTAAAACCAATTATGTTCACACGCCCAGGCAACTCAGAACAGGGTATCTGACATGGTTGCCCGGGACTGGGACCTCGTGCTTTCACGTGCCCAGGCCACCCAGAGGGGTCTCTAACATTGTGGCCCGAAGCTGGAACCAAGTGTCTGCACGTGCCCAGGCCGCCCATGGGGTATCGAACGTGGTGGCCTCGAGCTGCAACCACGTGTGCTTACGTGCGTGGGCCACCCACGGGGAATTTTTTAATTAACATGTTGTCGTATGGGCGCTCCCAGAGTGGGGCGCACACGAGCCAGACAGCATCACTACATCGCCACCAGATGTGGAATCACCTTCGGTAGGTGGCTTGCCAGACTTCCCAGTGGAGTATGTAACATGGTGGTCCCGACCGAGCTGGAGCCAGGTGTTGTCGTGTGTCCCGGCCACCCAAGTGGATATCTAACATAGTGGTTCCGAGCTGGAAACACGGTCGCTGTCGCCGCCGTCCGCCGTCGTTGTCATCGTCCGTGTTTCTGTCCGCCCCTCGTCGGTGCATTTCGAGCGCATCAGCCCTAGGCGAGCAATGCGCCCAGGCAACTCGAGCTTGAGGCCCAGCTCTGTCATGTCAGGATTCGAATGCCCAGGAAGATTTGATCCACGACGCACCAGGGCACCGAACTGTTCACATTCGCTCCCTTCCGGGTCGTCCTGCTCCCGAACCGAATTGGCTTTTGAGCCCGAGCTGGCCAGATCTGAGTTATGCGTTCAGGGAGCTCCAGCCTGATACCCAGATTAGTTCGATGGGGATCCTGACGCCACGGACGATCTGATCAACCATGCAATTGCACTTCGACGCGGCATGGCGCGTTTTAGTTCTGCATTGCACAGTACAGCGCAGCACAGCACAGCCCCCCTTGGTACTGTACAGCACTACTGTTACCCTGATCATTGCAATTGCCCGTGACTCAAATGTGGTGCCTTGGGAGACTTCCATGTTTCACAGTTATATACATATATATATATACTTTTCTGGCTACGTGGGCCGATCATGTTTACGTGTGCGGGCCACCGCAGGGGGGGGGTATCTAACATGTGGTCGTCAGGGCATCCCCAGCGTGGCTGGTGCGCACAAGAACCAGACAAAATCAATACATCGACACCAGATGTATAGTAATTTGACACAGATTCTTCGGCTGGTGATAGTACAGATTCCACACTGAGGTATCTAACATGGTGGTCCCGAGCTGGACCCACGTGTTTTCACTTGTCCAGGCCACCCAGGTCGATATTTAAGATGGTGATCCCGAGCTGGAACCGCGGTCGCGGTCGTCGCCGTCCGCCGTGGTCGTCGTCTTCGGCGTTTCGGCCCGCCCTTTCTCGATGCATGTCGCCTCGATTTGAATTCGCCCTCCTCATTTCGCCCTGTTGCGGAACAGGTCTCGACTACATCAGATCCGGGCGAGCAATGCGCCCAGGCAACTCGAGCTTGAGGCCCAGCTCTGTCATGTCAGGATTCGAATGCCCGGGAAGATCTGATCCACGACGCACCAGGGCACCGAATTGTTCAGATTCGCTCCCTTCCGGGTCGTCCTGCTCCCGAACCGAATTAGATTTTGTGCCCGAGCTGGCCGAGCGCCCCGCGCATTTCGATTGCGGCCAGATCCGAGTTATGCATCTGGCAGCTCGAGCTTAAGATCCAGGTCAGTTCGATGGGGATTCTGACGCCACGGACGATCTGATCAACAATGCATTCGAGCACAGCACTTCGACGCGGCATGGCGCGTTTTGATCCAGCACAGCACAGCACAGCCCCTGGCACTGTACATCACTGTCGCTACCCTGAGCATTGCAACTGCCCGTTGCCCACATTTGGTGTCCTGAGCGACTTCCATGCTTCACATTTATGTATCCCTTTCTGGCTACGTGGGCCGATCTTGTTTTTGGGAGCACCTTGTGTGCTGGAGCCGGGCGGCATCGCAGGGGGTGTGCCAAACAGACGAGCGCACACTGGGGCCCCTGCATCGGGAGCATTGGAGCCTCAGTACACTTAGACTGAAGTCGGGCGTGTCCCTCTACATCTGAGGACGCACGCACACACACACACACACACACACCAGCCGCGGCGAGCGCGGAGGGCGGGTAATCCTGCATGCTTGGCGCGTGGGTTGCGTCGCAAATTTCATTGCTGGGTTCGTAGCCACGATCTGCGGCCTAGTCGGCCCGCAGCTAGTGCAGGCAGCGCCGAAGGTGTCCCTCATGGTGACGCTGGCCGGCATTGGCTTCACGTATCTTGGAATGGCGCAGCTGTTCATATGTTTTCAGGCTGGCTACAGTGGGCTTTTGACATTCGCGGTGATGCTGCTCGTGTTCTTTGGCGGTTTCAAGACCGATCCTGTTCCTGCATCCGTGGCAATTTTGGCAGTTGGGTTTGTCGGGGGATGGCTGTCTTTCCAACGGTGGGAGGGTGGTGGGAGTATAGAAGCTGTCTCACAGTCCTTCGGCGCAGTTGGCTTCTACATCCCAAGTCTGCTTGACGCAGAATCGCTCAGCGTAGTTCCAGAGGTACTTGGCGAAAATCTGGCAATGATCTTGCCAGTGTCGTTCACCGGTGCCCTGGGTACGTTGCTCTGCGTGTATGGTGCTGCAGAGGCGGGCGATGTCTATTCTATACGGGAGACAATGATCGTCGATGGGGCCACTACAATGCTTGCAGCCATCTTTGGATCGCCGCTCGGAACATGTGTATACATTGGACACCCGCAATACAAGTCGCAGCACGGCGGAGTGTATTATTCTGTCCTTAGTGGGTTGATGTTCAGTGCCCTCTCGATAACTGGTATGTTTGCCGCTCTGAGTGCCTTCTTGCCTCCGTACGCCACTGCTCCGATGATCTTGTTCGTCGGCTTGGCAATTAACCAGGACACGTTCTCCATTTGCCCGCCAAGACACATCCCAGCCGCCATCGTGGGCGTCTTTCCCGCCGTCGCAGATTGGATACTCTCCTTCTGGCCCTCGGGGCAAGTGCATCCCCCTCCCGCCCTCTACGCGCTGGGTAAGGGCGCCCTGCTCACTGGCTTGATCTGGACGTCTGTCACGGTCTTCGTCATCGATCAGCGCTTCAAGGAGGCAGCAATTTGGACCGCTGTCGGCGCGTTCCTGGCTGGCCTTGGCCTCATTCATCAAGCAAGCATGGACTTGACGTTCGAGCGTTTCTTGTGCGGGGGTCCGCCACCAGCTGATGGAGCCGAAGCAGGGAGCAGCTGCAATGATTTCGGGACCTCTGCATGCTCATTCGTGCTGGGATATTTGCAAGTTTCCCTCTTGATGGTCGGCATGTGGTGGCTTCAGGGCTCTGCTAGTGACCGTGTCGCGTCTGCAGATCGTGAGGACGATGCGCACAAAGCTGAGACGATGATTCAGACCATGAGCACAGTCGTTGCAAAGTGGAAATCCTTCACAAGGAGGCAGTCGCTGACCGCGGCCACTCCACTTCGCCAGCGCCAGCTCAGCTCAGAACTCGAGCTGAATGGACGCCAGAGCGCTTCTCGGACCACCAGCAGCACCTGA